AATAAGGCTCAAGCCCCCAGTAGGGCAGACCAGGGAGGCTCTTAGTGCTCCTCAGGGTGGAAGCTCTTCTGCAGGGCCTCCTGGGTACTGACAGCCCCCCGATGGACCTTCCAGATGGCAGCCTGCAAAAAGTGCAGCCAGGCTCTCCGCAACGCATCCACGAGAAGCATCAGAGTGCCCAGGGGCAGCTCTGGCTCCATGTTGCAGAGTGCTGTGGTGTTCCGAGTGAGGGCAAACAGAGCACACTGGGACAAAATGCTTTGCTGTCTCTCATCGAGGTAGACAAGCAAACAGGGAAACCTGAGAACTGGCTGTCCAGGGGTGGGAGTGGGGGGAGCGGGCTTTAAGCACAGACCTCAGTTAGCCTCAGGCAGCATCCCCACACAGTAAGTCCGGAGAGCGGGCTTTAAGCACAGACCTCAGATAGCCTCAGGCAGCATCCCCACACAGTAAGTCCTGACCTGGTACCCTGCCGGAACTGGTTCAGGCCAGCCTTAAATGCGATTCAGAGTCCACTCAGTGTGGATGCACTATTTTGAAATAGCAAAATGCTATTTCAAAATGCATTTTGTGTATAGATGTGTTATTTCGAAATAAGATATTTCGAAATAACACTGTAACGTAGACATACCCTTAGAGACAGATGCCTACAGGCACTTTGAACGCTGACTGTACTAGGAACATAGCAAAGCTCATTTGCAGTGCCAAGGGCAGAGTCAAACCATAAGTGGCTAATTAAGAGAGTCAAAAGGGAAACAATGAAGGCAACAGCTTTCTTAATTCAGCCAGTCAGGTTAAGCACCGATGAGCTGTCCAGGTACTAAAAGTCTGTTCATCCAGATAAGGAAAAAAACTATTTATTCACTCATCAAATAATGCTGTCTCTAAGCAAGTATTGTTTTGCACTCCTGTTATGACAAATTAAGAATTTTGTGCTCCTATAGCTCCTTTGAATGAAGGTGCTCACAGAACTTGACTGATTTTAAGCTTCCTTTGATCTCAAGGAAGCTAGGATGAATTATATCCAGCAGATGGGTTAAACAAGCCACAGAAAGGTTAAGCAACAGGCGAAGGTCAGAGAGCAGTCCTGGAAATACATAAGAGCCAAGGATTCCAGTTTCCCAGTTCTGACTACTAATTTTTTTTTTTTTAATATTAAAGACCACTGTCTCTTTTGAGAATGCAGCCATGAGACTGGACAAGAACCAGATATGGCAACATGGTCCAGAGGCTCAGACAATGACAGTCAGGAAATCTGTGTTCTGTGTCCAATTCTTCTACTTTCTGTGTCCAGTTCTTCCACTTACCAGCTGTAAGATCTAGGGCAAGTCTTTCCCTGCCTCGGTTTACCCATCTGTAGAATGGGAATGATACTTAGAACTTTAGAAGGGAAAATTACGATTTCTGGGTGAAAAAAAAATCTTAAAAATATAATGAAATCTTAAAAAAAAAAAAAAATCTTTGCTGCTGGGTCATGTTAGACTTGACATAATTTTTATACAGCGTTTGTTAACAGAAGTACGAGTAAAAAAAAACAAGAAATTAAATGTGAGTTAGAAGCATTGTTAACAGCGTTTGTTAACAGAAGTACCAGTAAAAAAAAAACAAAAAAAACCAAGAAATTAAATGTGAGTTAGAAGCATTTGTTTAAAAATTCAGGTTTTATGATTAAAGGGTTTTTTTTCCCCTCTCCACTACAAGAACTCAAAGAAAACCCCAGACTTTGGGACTCTTACTTGAATCAAAAATGTTTAATCAGTTTCTTTTTTTTTCCCTCTCCGCTACAGGAACTCAAAGAAAACCGCAGACTTTGGGACACTTCCTTGAATCAAAAATGTTTAATCAGTTTCAGGCTTTCCCACCCCATAAAGGACATAACTCATTCACATCTGAGTACATGCATGCCAATTTTCAATTAGATGATCAAATGGGAAGACTGATTTACACAGTCCCAAAGGAGAATGCCTAATAGGGAGAACTCATCTTTAATGACAGTTATCAATCCAAACCATTAGCCAGTTCTCATATGAGACGCATCATTGGTTTCAAATTAATGGCGACTGATCAGTTTACAAGAGTATCACAAAGACAGAGTATGGAAATCAGTGTCAGAAGAAGATTTTGGTACTATGAATGCATGATAAACACTTACCTTCCGCCTCAATTCCTCACTATTGGTTTTCCTGTTAAGTCTTTCCAGGCAAAAAGTGACATAGCATTTCCACATGGCTCCTGCCAAGTCAAAGGGAGAGTCAGACACTGAACAGACTCATAGCAGAAAGCACACACCTGTCTTGTGGAGGGGGAGATGTCAAGCCCTATTCCAAGTATAAATACTATGGGTGATGCAGCCGTAATGACAAATGAATATTTAAAATAACTTGTCTGCCATATGAAGCACACATGGTAACGCTTAGCAAAGAGCCTTCAATCCAATTGGGATTTTACTCTGAAGAGCATTCAGGCCTCACTGAAATAAAGCATTTATCACATGGCGCAGTCCAACCCCATTCACAACAGCACTTTAGCACATGCTTAACTTGAAGTGCATCCTTCAGTTCTATTGAATGGCATGGAACTGAAGCACAGACTTGAGTGTTTTGCTGAACTGGGGCCAAAATGAGGAAGGAATGTGGTTCCTGGCAGAAAGGCTAAGTGAGGAACACATGCAGGGGTTATCCTCCAGGACCTATAGGCACAGTAACAGTAGGCAATGGCTCTTACTACCCAGGGAATTAGAGACCATCCAGCCTAAATTTGATACCTGGAAAGATACTAGAACAAATTATTAAACAATCAATTTGTAAGCACCGACAGGAAAATAAGGCAAAAAGTAATAGCCACTGTGGACTTTTCAAGAATAATATTATGCCAAACCAGCCCCGTTTCCTTTGACCAGTGAATGGCGGGGGAAGCAGCAGATACAATATAACTTGATTTTAATAAAGATTTTTTTAAATCCCACATGACATTCTCATAAGCAAACTAGGGAAATGTGGTCTAGATAAAATTACTATTAGGTAGGTGCACAACTAGTTGAAAGACTGTACTCAAAGAGTAGTTGTCAATGATTCTTTGTCAAACTGGGAGGACATATTTACTGGGGTCAGTCCTGGCTCTGATACTAATCAACATTTTCATTAATGACTTAGATAATGGAAAGAGCATGCTTGTAAAATCTGTGGATGGTACCAAACTGCGATGGGTTGCTAGGATGGGATTAGAATTAAAAATGATGCTGATAAATTGGAGAATTGGTCTGAAATCAATAAAATAAAATTCAATAAAGACAAGTGCACAAATACAAAAAGTGGGAAATAAGCGACCAGATGGTAATAATGCTGAAAAGGATCTGGGGTTTATAGTGGATCACAAATTAAATAAGCCAACAACATGATGTAGTTGCAAAAATGGCTAATTCTGCGGAATACTAACGTGAGTGCCATATATGAGACATGGGAGGTAACTTGTCTACTGCCCTCAATATTTGTAAATGCTCCACTGGAGTGCTGTATCCACTTCTGGGCATCACACAAAGATGTGGACCCCAAAAAAATCCAGAGGAGAGCAACAAAATAGATCAGGTTTCTAAGCCTTTCATTATGATCTGTCTTCACTCCCTGCCAAGATCCCTGCCCCTGGACTCCCAGCTGGCTCCCGCTCCCAGCCGCCAGGGCTCTCTGGTCCAGCAACATTCATGGTCCTACTGGACCACAGATGTTGCCAGACCATAGAGGTTCAACTATATTGGAATTCTACAGGTTTTCATCAGGCACAGAATCAGTTTTTTAAGCATCTCTCAATGGTTTCCAAACAGTGGTCTGAAGAGGTAGGGCTGCCTGCGAGCTGTGGACTCTCCCCATTCAAAAAAAAAAAAGCGCTAAAAATAAACACTTGTCCATTCTGCTATTCCAGGAATCAACTGCTACCTTTGCTGCTACAGGGATGTTGCAGGTTTCTGTGTGTGAGGACATGACCTGTAGAATTGCATATGAATGAGGCGTCCCCAAGATACTCCCTTTCTATTTAGAAATTTGAGGACATGGCCTGTAGAATTGCATATGGATGAGGTGTCCCCAAGATACTCCCTTTCTATTTAGAAATGGGCCCCCGCAATAAAATAGCTGAGGAAGCCTTGTTGCACATTTCTCACAAGCACTAACAGGAAAAAACAAAGAGAAAAACAATTTTAAAATGGACGCAAAGTTTCTAACCCATGGGGAGCGATGTCACTGCCTCCTCGAAGACCGCACAGCACCGCTCTGCCTGTTTAGCTGAACATTCTGGGGATGGCAAGGTCTCCATTTCCAGTTCCCGACGGGCCATGAAGTCCCACGTAAGGGGATCATCAGCATGCTCGGCCTGCAAGCTAAGACACACAGACCACAATGCCATTATATGCAAACTGCCATCTTGCATCAAGCTCATTCTAGAGCAGAGGAGATTTGGAGTCACCTATTGTCGTTTTACTCCACTGAACATTCTGGGGATGGCAAGGTCTCCATTTCCAGTTCCCGACGGGCCATGAAGTCCCACGTAAGGGGATCATCAGCATGCTCGGCCTGCAAGCTAAGACACACAGACCACAATGCCATTATATGCAAACTGCCATCTTGCATCAAGCTCATTCTAGAGCAGAGGAGATTTGGAGTCACCTATTGTCGTTTTACTCCAAGGGGACAATTCTAAAGGAATTAAATTTCATTTCATTTTAATTTTTTAACTAAATGTCATTTAAATGCAATGTTTCACCCTTGCACAAGAGGCAGTTATCCAAAATTTTGGCCAGTTTCTCTTCAACAGGGCTTGAACTTGACTGTCAGCTGTCAAAGCAGCTCTTTTGGAAAAAGAAATGCATATGGAAAGCTTAAGGTGCACAGTTACAAGCAACTAAGTGAACTAGGAAGCTACATGTTTCCTGAAATTGTTATCCTGAGTATAAATAGTCTCTCCCCAAGGACAAGTGCATTTTATCCACATTTTATTAGCATGACCTGAAACAAAGCCAATGTTGCATTCCACACATGCACCATGTTCTTCTTTAAAAAGCTGGCTTGCCTGCCTGCCTGTGCACCAGTGTCCCCTGTGACCTCTGCACCGAGAAATTCCAATGCTGCTTAGCTGTTTAGCCGCATCAGTGTCCCCTGTGAGCTGTGCACCGAGAAATTCCAATGCTGCTTAGCTGTTTAGCACAGGACTCACAGCTGGGTTTTGTGTTTCTACTGGTGCTGCACATTCACACATGCCTCAGTGCACATAAAAACATTATTCCATGCATGGATGGAAAAAACCTGTACATGGATTTAAAAGATTAGAGGGAAGCATTGGTGCTGAGCAATGTTGTTTGACACTAAAATCAGTCTTTTTCTTAAAAAGAAAGTTGTTAGATCTTAACCTCCGATTTCAACAGTACGGTGTCTCTGACACCAAATGGCGGCCGGAAATTAGGACCTTGCTGGTAATTTTTTTTTTAAATCAACTTACTTTTCAAGAATTTCTTTTTGCAAGTCTTGCGTAAAATCAAAAAGCTTTGCAATTGAAAGCAAGGACAGATGGAATTCAGCACCTAAGATAAAGAGAGCAAAGAAACTCAATAATATACTTCATTCCTCTGCATTTCTATCATTATTTCTGGTTTCCAATTGTTTTATATCATTTCCAAAAAAGTAAATATAATATTGTAAAAATCTATCCAGCTACTGACAGGTCATCTACTATATATTTGAGTTTGTCTGTCTGTCTGTTCAAGAACTTCTCCTAAATGGTAAGAGCTAGGACAACCAAATTTGGTAGGCAGCTTCCTCTTATCATAACTTAAAGTGATGTAAGGGTTTTGTTGTGCCAGGAAAATGGGATGTGCCTGGAATGGGATAGCTTCTTATAAAACAATACAGAAAACAGACACACTCACCAGGCAAGTGAAAGGCTACACTCTCCCCAAAATCTGGGACTGCCCCAACTCTGAGCCTCCCCCTTCCCAATTCATTTGGGAACATTGCTGGCTGTTCCCCTTGGTAAGGGAGAGAAGAATCTGGGGGGGTCATAGTGGACCACAAGCTAAATGTAAGTCAACAGTGTAACACTGTTGCCAAAAAAGCAACTATGATTCTGGGATGTATTAGCAAGAGTGTCATAAGCAAGACATGATAATTCTGTGCTCATTATGCCTCAACTGGAGTATCGTGTCCAGTTCTGGGCACCACACTTCAGGAAAGCGGCAGACCAACTGGAGAAAGTCCAGAAAAGAACAAAAATAATTAAAGGTCTAGAAAACATGACCTATGATTGAATACTGAAAGTATGGAGTTTGTTGAGTCTGGAAAAGGGAAGACAGAGCGGACATAACAACAGCTTTCAAGTATCTATGAGCGCGGACATGATAACAGCTTTCAAGTATCTAAAAGGGCCATTACAAGGTGGAGAAAAATTGTTCTTCTTACCCTCTGAGCATAGAATTAGAAGCAATGGCCTTAAATTGCAGCAAGGAAGGTTTAGGTTAGACATTAGGAAAAAACTTCCTATCCGGGTGGTTAAATCCCGGAATAAATTACCAAGATGGGTTGTGAAATCTCCATCATTGAAGGTTTTTAAGAGCAGGTTAGACAAACACCTGCCAGGGATGGTCCGATTGTGCTTGGTCTTTCCACGGGTGCATGGGACTGAGCTAGGTGACCACTCGAGGTCCCTTCCAGTCCTATGATTCTATAATGCATACATATGGGCAGACCAGATGTTAGTTATGTTTATTTTTCACTGTGTTTCATGTTTGTAATTGGGACAAGCAAGGACATGAATCTGCAACCCATACTGTCACCAGGCATCTTATGGCAGGGGAGGGGGAAATCGCACTTCTTGCTTGAGTGAGAACTGTAGTTTGAGTCACATCCTTTTTGATCCTGAAAACATTTCTATGCTTGGTTTAAATCGAGGTCATAGTAAATCTGCTTTTTCTGCAGTACAGCAAAAGAGAAGGGGTTAATGAAACGTGCTTTATATTCTGTACCATGATCACTACTGTGCCCAGAGGAGATTTTTTTTTTTTTTTACAAATAACCATGGGCCCAATCTCCTGTTCATGCAGATCTAATGGATCTAAAATACAAGAGGTGTGGAAGGGCAATGGTTGCTATTTCAGGCAAAAGCCAGGAGAACCAGAGAAGGTGCCTGCCTAAAAGGGTGAATTTTACCACTTGAGCACACATCTCTATACAGACAATGAAGCCAGGACTAGCCATACAAGATACCAGAGTCTCACTCCCATAGGGTCATTTTTCCATTAAGCAAGAAGGGTGGGGAAGCATTCAATTACCTTTAATTTTCTGAAAGGCGTTTCTGTAGATTATTCGAGCCATTTCCCCATTCAGAACCTCCTCAGAATAACTGAACTCGCCCTAAAATGTGAGAGAGTCAACTTTAGATAAATGTTTCATTTTGAACAACTACTCTCTGATTTAGAACTGGCAATAGAAATTTTTCTCCACCCCAACACACACCTGTGTAGCCTGTAGTAGAGGTGTAAATATCAATCAAAACAGTTAACTGGTTAAACTATTACAATTATATCATTGTTTAACCAGTTAACCATTGGAGGGCTGGCATAGGGCAGCCAGGGCTGTGGGCATGGCCCATCCAACTCAACCAGGGCTGCTGTGGCCTGACACAGCTGGGGGTCCAGTTAATCTGTTACCTAGTAAGCATGTGGGTAACCTAATGCTTACCAGGTAACCAGTTAACCTTTCACAACCCTAGTCTGAAAACAAACTAGTATTAAATCAACGCCTAATACAATACAGAGGAACCCAGTTTAATTAGTCTTAATCAGAAGTTTCTATTTACTTTCAAACTCATGGGTATAGAGTCAAGTACAGCAGAATCCTGTCTATCTCCTGATCAGATAAGCAAAAATTCAGACAATTTGGAGAACAGGAAAGTGTGATGCTGCAGCACCATCTAGTGGCAATAAGAGATATCACCTGCTTCCAGACCCACATGTGCTGAGTGTTTGGTTAATAGAACCAGATAATGGAGGGTCAAAGAAATGGGTTTCTACTGGACTACATACTTCTAAACCTGAACGAGCATTGTCTGTCCATTTTAAACAGAAGAAATTGCAAGTGTCCTACCAAATCCATCTTGGCTTGTTCAAACTCCTTCTTTTCTTTTCTCTGTTTTTCAGCATGCATCAGTTCCATTCTGAAATACTGCAGAAAACGAATGGATAAAAAGGAAATGGAGGAGGGGGTAAGTATTTTCAGCATATAAACACGTGGACATTTACTAAAGCAAGCCCTGTATAAAGATCTGCAGGTAAGAACTTCCCACCAATGTCTGGGGGACCTATTGAGAAATAGCAATGAAGCAGCTATTTCAAAACCATAGAATTAATGCATCACCATGGACAGTTTGCTGAACTTCGTTTCAGCAGCTGTGATACAGCTTTATTGGTGATAACACTGCATCAGCAAGTGGACAGTGAAGCAATTTGCAAAACCAATTACATCTTAGTAATATTCCAGTTCACTGCAGCATCTGCTATTCCATCTTTGCTGAGATGTAAAGGGAAGCCGCCCATTACATATGTATGTAGTAAGTTGAGGGTCAGTAACATGGAGTCAGCAGGCCTAAACAGAGGCCTGTAACATGAAAACAGCAACAGGCCTGCAATCTAGTGAGCAAGACTTTGGTTCAGTAACACAGGAGCCAAGAAAGAGGCCCTATTGATAACTGTGTGATTGTGTAAGTTAGGTCGAGCATGGAAGGACACAGGGAGGCACTGGGTACAGACTGTGAGCCAAAGGGGAGTAATGGAACATCTTAATAAGAAATGTCTTGGTACAAAAACTCCGTAAAAACTAATGCACAGACCGACCTAGGTTCAGGACCGGGTCAAAACTGACAGCATGAAGGATAGTAAGTGAGCCCCCCTTCCATACAGTGAGGGGTGGTAACTAGGCAACAGAGGGTGGTAACCTGGTACGTAAAGAAATGATGTAAGTTGTTTGTACCTGTCTATAAAAGGACACCGCAGAGGGTGCTCTCAGGCCGACCTTGGGGGGGGTGCACTAGGCGCCTGAACGGCAGGTGTCATTGCCTAAACTTACAGAGTGCACAGTA